GGGTTCTGCATCAGGAATCCAAAAAAGTGGTATGTGCTGCACAGACAGCTTTTCCCTCTCAATCTTGAAAGCCTGCCGTGCATGAGCATGGCTTTTGCAATGCAGGAGAGCGGTCGTAAGAGCTGGTCCTGGCCAGAAGAGGGCATTAACACCACTTGGTTAAATCTTGCAGAGTAGTCCTTCAGGCACATCTTGAGGATATTGCATCTGCAAGCCACTGAAGTCTAAAATTTCTGTTTAGAGCTCATATATTTGCAGCCTTCCAGAGAGCTGAGTTAGCACTCTGAACGGCATTACTTTTCTGAGCCAGCTACTTCTTGACTGTAGGTGGCTCGGAGGAGGATTTTGTGCGTAGAACTAGGTAGCAGGCTCTCTCTGGAACTGCTTGCTGGCTCACAGGATCCATGATAGCAAAGAGCTAATCTGGTCAGCACGGTACTATCTTTTGCCAGCCCTTATTTTCCATGCCTCCTTGCTTCTTCTGTCTAGGCACAAGCATTACAGGCAATAGGTTGCATTTTTTATGGCACTTAAATCTTCGAAACAGCTTTCTTTTCATGACAGTATTCTTACTGGTTTCTGTGCCTCAGTGTTGGGACTCATGTTTATACTGTATTTTTCCACTGTGTTTCACCTAAGGTTTTGCAGTAGGCTTTTAATAGAGCCTGCTTAGAATAATCTCTTGCAGAATAACCTTTATAAAAATAATAAAGACTTTAAAATTTTCTTTACTGAGCAGCGTTAAGGAAGGAATGCTTTGGAGACAGCACGTGCCAAATTTCGCTGAGAGCTACACGAGCTGCCTTTCAATTCCCTTTTACCTGCTGTTACTACTTAAATTTTTTGTGACCTTGAGTGGTTTGCAGAAAGTGATACTAGTGTGAAGCTGGAGACTATGTCCTGGTGAGTGAGGGCACATTTTATCTTTGCAGCGCATTCAGGACATCCGGCGACTTCCCCTTCGCTACTGGCTCCTGGTCCTCACCATCATGTTCTTCTACAACGGAGTCTTCCCCTTTGTGGCAGACGCCAGGTATTGCTCTGTGCCTGTAGTGCCACTGACCGATTCAAGCCTATCGGAGCCTTGCAGGCCCTCGCTTTTCAGTTGCCTGGGAAATATGGGGGTAAAATGTGTGTTCCTTCCAGTCATGAAACACAGAGAAGCAAGTCTTTAACGCCTAATTAAAGAATATGAGGGTTCTTTGACCTTTCTTGCCCTTCAAAGGTGAGGGAGGCTTCTGAAGGAAAGCAAAAATAACTTAAATGGAAATGATTCATCCAACATTTAAAGCTTGGAAGACTGCTAAAGGAGGATCGGGAGGATTTAGGAGACAGGGAAGAAATAGTTTATTTAAAAAAATAGCCCGTAGACGTTTCACCTATATGACAGTCTAACAAAGTGGCTGTCTTTTGAGCTGTGAGGGGTGTTAGCTTCACAGGCCTGGGGCAGTTCTGTCCTGCAGTTGTCTGCTGTGTTAGGAACAAAGCTCAGCTTGCAGCAGCCTGGCTTTGTAAGCAAGGAAGCCTTTGCATCCTGGTTCAAGGCTTGCAGACTTCCTTTTTTATGCCTTCATTTGCTTAAAACAAGTAAGCAACCTGCCCGACTAAACTGGGACTCCTGTCCTGTGGCTCTGCCACAGACTTGTCATTTTGCTGCTTTTTTCCTGTTTGTGGATGATGCAGCTTCTGTCGCATAATGAGTATGAACTTTTATATTAGCAAAGGCCTGCAGTAAAGAAAAGAAAATTATTTTGGAAAATTAATTTGGTAATTATTTCATTAGTGATGTATTGTAAGCCACTGTGAAAATTTGGAGTGAAGAAATGCCATCAACATTTTCATAAAAAACATACAAGTGACCTCTTCAAGATGGCAAGGATCATCAAGGCAAGGATGACATAATCTTTGAGACGAGCTTTCTATCAGTTGCCCTCTCATTTTAATTGAAACAGTGTCTGTTGATAACATAGAATCCTCTCTTCTGCAATTCTGCCTCCCCGCAGAATTTTCTTTTTCGCTCCTTGTGGAGCAAAAGTTCAGGCACCAAGAGTCAGTTTCACACAGCTTTCCTGGCAAAAAAATGCTGTGCTGCTTCCCAGTTGGAAAAATCAGGGTCCCAAGGCCACTGCTTTTTGGTGAAATCTGTTGCAGTAAATCTTCAGGGAACAGCGTCTTGTTTCATACTTTGCTGACAGCACAGGCTATAAGGGCTCACTATTGCTGGTGGCAAGTAGCCATGCAAATAGCCAAACCAGCCTTGAGTAGCTTACAAAATCTCTAAATAAACTAGTCTTTCTCAACTGTTACACCTGTGTGACTATAAATGCTGTAAAGAATTCGAGTATGTTTTAATGCCGGTTTTTTGTGTCCCTAACAAAGGTGAAAGGCCAACTTCTGACAAGGAAAACAAAACTTGGTTTGTGAGTTTTCTGCTTTAACCAGATGCCAAAGGGGAATTCTTAGTACTTCTAAATGCAGGCGTGCAATTTAAATGCTGATCTTTGCTGCTGGATTATTTTAAAATATTTTTTTCTGCCCCTCAGCATTCTCACCTTTGGACTGATAATGCTTTCTGCCTCTTCAAAGAGACTGTAAAAAATCTATCCATATCCTTTGGACAGGTGACAGAAAATTGCTGCAATTGAACATGTGCCCAACTTTAACCTGCAGTTTTACTCTGCACTTGCTGAAGCATCTTCAAAGTGGCCACTGAAGCTACCAGCTTCTCTATGGTGTGCACCGATTAAAAAGAAAATAAAACAACAAAGGCTTGGCGCTACAAACCAGACAGAATCAAACTTTTACAAGTCCTCTCATTAAAACCCTTCCTGTCCATATATTTGTGCTTAGACTTAACTTTCTGTCTAAATAACCAGATCAAGAGTCCTAATTATGTAATTTTTTTCCCCCTTTCGTTTTATTTTTAGCAAGTTTATCCAGGATAAATATTCTGGCTACAGTCAGCAGGCAGCCGCTTACATTGCTGGGGCAGTGTACGACAGCTCCCTTGTTCTCTCTGCAGCAGTTGGCATATTAATTGTGAGTACCCAAAACCAGAAGTCCTTGCTGGTGAGTTTTTCCTAATTTTTTGGCATGTCTTTGTTACAACCCCCTCAACCAGAGTTTAGCCTGTTGTTGCTGAACAAGCAGTCCTTGAATTCCTTGCAAACGGCAAGATATACTTTAGTCTGAATTAAATTACAAGAAATAATGTTAACCCCATTTTTCCCTCTGCCTCTTAATTGTGCTGTGGTAGCAACAAACCCTGGCAAAGGGCTGTATGTTTTGAGACGTCTGAGACTGGAACAGAAAGGGTCAGGATACGATGACGGGAAAGGACAACCTGCATGTAATGAGTCCCTCTTGTCAAACTCTTTCCTTTCCTTATTTCCATAATTGTCAGGGCATAATGCTGTGTTTTTCTTCCCCCTTTATTAAAGCCTGCCATTTCACATGAACACCGGACACAGATTCTCTGACAAGTGTTTCAGTCTTGGTTCATGAGTATGCAAGAGGAACTAGCAGCAGCCAGTCTGCTATGGTATCAGCAACTGGGAAATGACACGTTACTGCCACTCATGCCAGCCCGCTTTGTGCAGCCGCTCGCGTCGCTGGGGTCTGTGGGAAGCAAGGATCCCTTGTAAGAGGCCTCCTGTTTATTTCCTTTACCAGGACTACGTTGGACTGAGAGGCGTCTTTGCTGTTGGCTGTGCTGCATTGACACTGCCAGTCTTCGCTCTCCTGGCATTTACGTTTGTTCCTCCGTTAGTCTCTACCATCTGGTTGGGGATCACTTACTCCTTTGCTGCTGTAAGTTCACAACCCGGGTGCTGTAGTTCAGTGTTTTCTGGCTGTGCTCCTTCAACATCCTGGATGGCATATATCACTGCCTCTGTGTCCCGGTGAGCAGGTTTAGCAGCCAGAGTCATTGGCTCCCTAATCCTGAAGGCTTTGGTTAGTGCCAAGTAACCCCAAACAATATGGAACACAACGCAAAGCAGTGCAAGGGACCATCTGATATCGCATGAATCTGCCTATGCTTTTCTTAATGCTTTTTTACCTTGAATTTAGCGCCTGAATCTCCTCTGAGTCTTACGAGCTAAATCATCGGGCCTAACTCCCCTTCAGAAACGTGGAGTCAGGTTATTCCAGTTTCAAATAACATGTGTTGTCTGTGCTGTCTCAAGATGCTTGGAAAGGATGGGGAACAGCCTAGAACCAGCCCAGGAGGGATAAACAGGTTTTTTGAAGAGAAAGTATAAATGTTAATTTAGTGGGAGTAATTCCTTTTTAAATCAATGATGATCTAACACCTTCAAATAAGGTTCCGAGTTAATTCTTCTTCTCATCACTCCTACCAGGCTAGTATGTGGCCGTCCATACCCCTTGTGGTCCCCCAAGCAACTTTAGGGACAGCTATGGGGCTTGCAACTTCTGTGCAGATGGTTGGAGTTGGCCTTTCGAATCTGATTGTTGGACACATTCTAGGAACAAAGTCCAGGTGAGAATGCTTTTTTTTTTTTTTTTCCCCCTCTTTCAAGCAGAGACATCAGCAATGTATTAGTGGAGCGATATGAATAGAAATTGGTGTCTTTGCAACCTGATGCTGCAAGGAACTCTAGAGGTGCCTTAAATATTTTCAAGTGACTTGTTGTTCTATCTTGTTTTGGCCTTTTCTAGTGAATTAAAGATCCCCCTGTGGCGCTGGCAACGGATGATGATCTTTATGTTGGCAAACACCATTGCATGTATTGTTGCCTCTGTTAGCCTCAATGTTGCGGACAAGAAACAGGTAAGCGTGATAAAAGGTTGCTTTTGTTGATGTAATAGCTGTTGGGTGTGTAGATAAGTAATTCTTCCAACATAAAAATGGGAGTGCATAAGAAGAGAACTATCTGCTAAAGTACTGATGCAATGTGCAGTAGCCTTACCTAGTATCAAGCTGTTGGCAGCTGGTTTTTTTTGGAAGAAGGTGAGGGAAAGGGCCAGGACACGGCTGTAGAAATACATGTGTACAGGAAGAACAGTATCAGTTTTGTCACTAATTGCTGCTCTGAATTTCTAGGGTGGGACACTGAACAGAACAAGAAAGGGAGCACCTGTGGAGCAGGAGGCCAGAGCCCCTGCAGATGCAGCACCGCTCCTTGATGATGAAACAGGAAACGAGGGCTCTGCCCGCTGAACCTGCGCAGCGTGAGAAGAGTGACGGCTGCCAGACACAGCGCTGATCACTTCTCTTTGAAAGTGGATTTTTAGTTTGTGTATTTTAAATGCCTTTAAAGGGAATCTTGAAGGAAACTGTCTATAGAAAGGGAATGTTTCCACTTCCTTATGCCTGGCACACGAGTGAAAGGTGTCTGCTGTATGGTTCTTGGGCATTCTCCAACATACAGAAACCTGCATGGGGCACTTTAAGAACTACACTAACAGTAAGTGAAACTAACCTAGCTGAAGCTTGCTGGTAAGCCATTAGACAGTTGCTTTTCACCTTGCATCACAACTGCCCACATGAGGGCTGCCTGCCTGGTCCACCACCGTTTGTCCATCACAAGAATCCTGCACGTCAGCACCTGCTAATCGGCACACCTGGCTAGGCCTGCTGTTCCAGTTACTGCTCTCAATTAGCATGAGTGTCTCACAAATTACATACCCATGCAAGTGACACCATCATTATTCTTCAGGCAGAAGACTGAATTAATCAAATTGATTACTTCTGCATACAAGCCTAGCTTAATTGCTTATTACCTTACTAGAAAAGCTTCTGTAAGCTGTGCCTATTCGTTTACCTTCAAAAGCGTAAAAGGTTTTGATCTGAAATTCTGTCCTTTAAACCAGGGTGCTCTTACTCACGAATGCTACAGGCTTATGTTGCTCAGCCAACTGCCCTTCTCACTATGCAAAACGCTCAAACGCTCACACAGTGTTTACAAAAGCACAAAGGATGCTTTAAGAATGAAGTAAACTTTAACATAGCCAAGTACAAGGAATGCTGAAGTGAATGACTTATGTAAATTATTACAAGTTCTTACGAGAAAGAGCAGCTCTGCTGAAGTTGCATTTAATACAAACACTAATAGATTGAAAGCAATTTAGGCACTGACGGCATCCAGTGAAGTCATATTTTTAAGGAGCTGTCACAGAAGACAAATACACCCATCAAAGCAAAGTTTTCTTAAACTGACTCACTGAAGAGAATGTGTTCAGAGAGCAACATCTTTTAAGTTACAGTGTGAATTAATTTCACACCACAGACAGTTAAAGAATTTCCCTGTTGGAGTCTGGTGCAGCACAAATTTGGGGGTGGGCTGAGAAGTCACAGAAATGCAAAATCACAGACTCCTTTGGCTTGGCAGGGACCTCCTGAGATCATCTCATCCAACGCCCTCTGCTCAGCAGGGTCAGCCAGAGCAGGTTGCCCAGGACCGTGTCTGGTCAGAGTTTGAGCGTCGGCACAGATGGAGACTCTACACAACCTCTCTGGGCAACCTGTCCCGGTGTTTGACCGCCCCCAGAGTGACAAAGCGCTTCCTTGTGTTCAGATGGAATTCCGTGTGGTTTAATTTGTGCCTGTGGCCTCTTGTCCAGAGAAGAGCCTGGCTCTCGCATCCTCCCTCCCTCCCGGCAGGTACTTAACCAGGCTGCTAGGATCAACCCGAGCCTCCTCTTCTCCAGGCTGAACAGCCCCAGCTCTCTCAGCCTCTCCTCCTATGAAAGATGCTCCAGTCATTCACCACCTTTGTAGCCCATCACTGCACTCCCAAAGTCACACCTCGCTCGTAGTAGGGAGCCCAAAACTGGAGTCAGTATTCCATGTGAGGCCTCACCAGTGCTTTCACTCTGCTGGTAAATCACACTCCTGCTAGACTGGGGCTTTAAGTACATCCCTCAGCCTCCAGTCACTACTACTCTTCTGTGCTGAAATCCTGCGGTTACATTTTTTCATAGTGGAAAAATTCCATGGTGAATTTCCAACTGCGATTATGAAAAACCACATGCTGCAGTACTATATGCTTACATTAGAGGCTTGGGTACAGAAGAAAGTATGTGTTCAACAGAGCTGATTTTTTGTGTCAGTCCTACGGCACCTGGCTGAAAAGCAGCAACTTCAGCCTGGCTGGCAGGAAGTTGTCAGCTCTCCCAGTTTACAAACCATACGATGCTGCAGCTGCACTCAATTGGGTTGGCCCTGTAATGAGCACTAGGGTGCCCACTGAAAGTCCTGTACTTGGTTCTTCAGGGAAGAACCTCAAAAGCCAGCCATTCCTGTTTGCCATCCCATAATCTACTTCCAAATTACCAAAAAAGAAACTTCACTCTTCTGTTTTGAAGAGTTGTTTTTTTAAAAAAGAATTGTGACAGACTTTCCTTAAAATCTGCCACTGGTTGACAAGGTTACCGACAACATAGGACTGGAAATCTCCCTGCCTGCTCTGCTAGGTTTCACTGAGAAGCATTCCCACGCGTTTCCTACATTCAGTGCCTAGGAGGAGAACGTTGGTCTGCTCTAGTGGTTTATCGTAGATACCATTGTAGGAAGATCCCTGCATGTGCTTTTAAAAACCCTTTCATATTATCTGAAAACGGGGAGATTCTAGTGACCTTTGAGTCTGTTGCACAAAGACCATCTTTACGTTGGGAGGATTCTACTAGAGCCTCTTAGAGGCAGAGTTGTTCTTAAAAGACTGCTCATGTCTTTCAGCTCAGATTAATAAAGCTTGAAGCTGACATAACAACAGTAAGGAGGCCTAACGAGCCTCCCTGCGACAGTACCTGCTCATCTCCATCAGAGTTCATCAACAGCTTCCCGTTACTCCTGTTTAACTGCTTTTTTCATTAAGCACTCCACTGATGACAGGAAAACCACCTTCGCTTTGCCCGTCTTGACACCTGCTGTTGAGATGCCAGAGCTCACTTCTGAGGAACTTAAAAGTAATTGCACGTCTCTCTACTTTGTTTGAGCCTGTCATGAAAATGAAAGGGTGGCATTCACAGAGGCCACTGTGCTGCAAGACATGGAAAGAAACAATCAGCTGGTTTGGTTCAGTTTTGGTAGCATTGCACTGATCACGTATACAGGTAACTGAACACACCCCCCCCACCCCCCCCACCCCATCCCTAGCCTTGGACAACCCTGCAAATGGCAAGCTCTTCTCTCCAGTATTCTTTGGCAGAACCTTCCTCTGGCGTAAGACACAGTGGATTGCAACTCTTAAAATATAAACCGTGAAACTTGAAAGCGGACATTAGTTCAGGCAACTCACACTGAGGTGGATTTTTGTTTTTTTGCTCATCACGCTCCGGAGCATGCTCCCAGAAGCCAGAATGTTAAACTCCTTTACTCAGTGGAGCACACGTTGATGTAAGCTTGTGGGAGGTGGCAGTGGAGGATCAGGAGGAGCGAGGTGCAGCTGGGCTGTTCATGACAACAGTGAGTCTTGCACTGGACAGGCATGGTGACGCATTTAGGAACTAAGCAGCAGCTATGCCTACACGTACACACGAGTTAAGAAAGCACGCAAGTCATCCTTTAACCACTTTCCAACTAAGTGTGTTATAACGGATACCATCACTTTCTTTCCAAGACTGAAACAGTAACCTGGATAATACTCTATGCCAGCGTTCAAGCTACAAACCTTCAATTTAGGGGGAAAGCAATGAGGTAATGTACAGAGTTGCAAAGCGACACTATATTGTAGTCTCCTAGCTGGCTGCTGTTCAAAGGAATGACAATCCTTTGTTGCTAATGTATTATCTACCGAGGATATTTGCAAGTTCCCGCACCATGCAGATCCTACCCAAAGCGCGCACGCTCAAGGGAAGAGTTCTGAACTATAAGTGGCAAAACTCTCAGTGCAAAATACAAAGTTGCTGTTGAAACAAGTGCTGGCCAAGAGGTTCTGTGGGGCATCACAATCTGTAAATTAAGGGATGAATGCAGCAGATTTAGAACACCCTGGCTGAGAGGCCACCATGTCCAACTCACCCGGAGTTACCTCCATGCTGTCAGCAAACCCAGTTTGGCACATGAGGCGAGTTTTATGCACTCACCGTAATGACTTCTCCACATAAAGGGCATCCTGCGCTCAAGGGGAATTATTACACTATTCTACAAATTTACTTAAATATTTAAAATGTTTGAATATTCAAGTCTATTTACAATATTGCTGGAGAGCATAACGGCATCCCCTCATTGCACAGAACACCGTGGAATGCTGCCCACAAGAAGGCATTGACCCGAACAGCCCGCCCCTGCTACCACCCCTTCACACTCCCCAGGGATAAGAGGTGCTGGTCTCATAAGCAACCTTGAGCAGGATGCCACATCTCTAAAGTGTTCTCCCCCGCTACAGAAGGCCTGGAACAATTGGTGCAATTTTTCCAATTTCAGATAGCAAAATTCACCAGTGTATCTACATTGAACTAAATACCAATTAATTCATAAAAACAGACATCTACAGCGCACAATGAAGTAACAAAATACAGAGGTTTATTGACAATTGCATGATTTATCATTTGATTTCCAATCCCCTGCTGTCCTGAAGAAATGTTCTTATCAATCTTATTTGACGACTTGAAAATATGGTTTAGATTCCAAATAAAGCAATGCAAGAAAATGAAGACAGTTTAACTAATTTAAGGCCTAGCTGGAAGTTGCTGTTTAAAAGACAGGCACTGTAGCCAATGCACATCGGGTATTGAAAGATGCCAACTCCAAGCTCAGTACTACAGACAGCGTCGATTACACCAGACCCTTCAATGCGGAAAGCAGCCCCTGGCTGACCGTTCCACATGGAAGCCTCTTAAAACCCCGTCAGGTACTGGAACAAGGAATTGCAACAGACAGACATGTCCCAGACTCCATCAGAGGCCAGACAGCCCAGACTCAAGAAAAGCTGCTAGGAAATACATGTTTGGAAGCAACATAAATCCATTACAAGGCTGCAGTTAGAATCACTGTCTTGTTGTCCTAGGGGATGGGGCAATCAGGGAGCTCCAAACCTCTCTGGAAGGGACAAAGGCATCAAAATCCCTACTTTCCACGGGTATTTCTACCCTTAGCACTGCCCCACATAGGTCACTATTTGAAAAGGCAACTAGGTCTTCATGCAGTCATCCACCACTTGTGACGTCACTGAACCGAGCAGCCTAGTGACGTCACTGAACCGAGCAGCCTAGTAAGCACTATAATCACAGAGTGTTAGCACCTGGCCCAGAGTCCCCCTGAAACAGTGGCAGTTCCCAGGGAACCCGGGCTAGAACAGCAGTGGATATATGCAGATAAGGCCACTTGTTCTTTGGTGTACCTGAACGACTCCTGTTTCGATATGTCAAATTTAAAAAGTCACTATTAAATACATTGAACAGTAAGCACCTAATGTTAACATTCATATATCAAAGCTCTGGATGTGATCAGAAACGTCCATTCAGAGAAGAAATGATGGGAGCTACCCTCCCCAACAAATGTTTGTGTCAAACACGCGCATCTTCCAAACATGATTTAAGATAGCCAGCACAACCAAAAGGTTCATATTGCTACAGCCTTTGCTTCTCCAACTAGGATAGTCTACAGCATGTCTCAAAACAACTACAGCTGTGGTTTGGGGAGAATCCACATAGTTCTCCCCAACCTTATCAACAAAAATCTGAGGCAGTCAAAGACAAATGTAAGGCTGACCAAAGACAAGAGAGTTCACTAACAGAGTCAGCACAGACAAACAAAAAAAACCGCACTGTGGTGAAGACAGTAGAACAGTCCTGGTTTCTGCAGGGTACAAAGCAAAAATCCTTTGCAGAAGCCAAGGCATTCCTATACAGGCTGGGTCACAGCTAGCTGGCTGGACACCTCAGTATTTTCTCCATGGTAGTGGTACGCTTTAAGTTGCTTCTGTTTAAAGAGTACCATAAAGCTATTGTTTGCACCCACACCGTTACCAGAAAACGTGTAAGCACTCAACCAGGATACTTTAAAAAAAAAAGTCTTCTAGGAGCACCTACATGAAACAGTACGTTGGACTGACACTAACACTTGTCAAGAGCTAGTCGTAGCAATCGGCAGATTACTGAAGGTTATCAGAAAGGCCCGAACACTCCAGGGAGGGGAAGACCATGATATGTATTAACATGTGATGGTTGATGAGCATAAAAGAAACTTTCAGCATCTTTTGTCCTTGTACCAGCAACCATGTGCTGCAAAGCAAGAAAGGAGAAAGAGAGAACCAAAGACTAAAGACACTCAAAACCACAGTAGCACGACTTGTTCCAGTGGAACATACGTACATTGAAGTGACTGAAGTCAACCCACGCTGTGAAGCTGCATCCCATTGCCTAGAGGAAAGCATAGCCTACCTGCTGTGCTTCAGAATCTTTCGGATGTGACCTCCAGGTCCATACCCATTCACAATGTTTTATGTGTTGACTGTATAGATAAGCCTGGCTCCACGAGAGTGTCCCGAGCTACTAGCTAGCTAAGAACCTAACAGCCTGATGAACCACCACAAAGTAGCACTGACCTTTCACAAAGTTACACTAATGTCCCCCTCTGCCACCCACCCAGGCAGTCCAACACTCACATCTTCCACAGGGCACCCTTTCCCTCCCCAGCCCTCCCCCCGCAAATCATCAGGTCACCCTTCCTACATGCTTTAGCATAACCCTCATCCATCTGCCTAAGAATCTATCCACAAACAATAGTCTATACACTGACCTCGCAACCACAGACAAGAGTTTCTGTGCAGACTCCGTTAGTTAAAGTGAACAGATGACCCTAATAGAACGCAATACTGGATTTCCCCCCCGGTGGATTGAGAACTTTGTTGTGCGAGCGCGGCCTTGGCCCTAATCGGGGCTCGTGATTGTCTATCTTGGGTTCTGGCTCCTTGCATCGCTCCTCTTTGCCCAGATCTTTTTTCTCGCCTCCATCTTCCAGCTGTGGTTTGATATTTTCTGTAGCTGAATAAAAAGAAAAGGGATTAGATCAACTTGCTATTCTGTAGTGCAAAGGGCCTCGTCTTCTGTAGGCTGCATTATTTCCCATGTCTCCCTTCCACAGCACACTAAGGCTTCTCTGTATCTGTTTATTTTTCCTGAAGGAAACGGGTGCTGAGGAAGAATTTCACTTTTTGCAACAATTCCTCTCTTCCTTCAGCAATCTTTCTAACAAAGATATGTAGGCTAAGCAATATACCTTCAGAATTATTTTGGCAGTTTCAGGCAACATGCCAATGAATCCTTTCACGCTGAGCTTGAAAGCAGCATGCCCATCATTCTTTCACAGTAACTAGCTGAGCAATAATACATTTTGTCAGTCAGCTATTTGTTACTTAGAACTACAGAAGGCCAAGATTATACACTCGAAGGAGATGCCAAGGGAGTAAGAAGCGGTCTGATAGGATGTTTTTCTATATATACAGATTCCATAAATATCTATATATATGCACATGGCTTCAAGCAAAGTATATACACACACACAGTACCAAGGCTTATGCCTGTAGAGCTCTCCTCAATAAGAGGAAGAGAACCATTTCCATGAAGTCAAGTGATTAAATTTCTAACAGAAGGAAAACTTCTCAGTTATGTTATCCTAAACACCAGCCTTACTCTTATATTTTTTAAGAGGAAACGTAAGAAACTGGTCTCTTTGAGAAGATAAGCTCTGAGTAACAAAGAAAGGAATTTCTCTTGCTGACCTTCTAGCTTCTTTGGTGTTTCATCTTCTTTCAGGACAATGTGATCCTGCAAAGAAACCAGAAGCTATCTTAGTATATTATCGTTCTCAAACAGTAACTCCATCACAAAATCCTGCAGAAAATTTTGCTTTGTTTCTGATCTAAGTTTATATGTTTATCATGGTAAAAGCAAACAGCTGCAGATACCGTGCGTAGCCCTGCACCCCCTCCACCGCTACATAATCCCAAAAGCAGTAGTACAAGGCAACTCCAGTGTGATGTCAAGGCGCACATCTCGGGACAATTCATTGAAACACAGATGAAGACGCTACATTAGGTCATTAGAGGCTTAAAACTTTGTCTATGATACAGTTCAGTCTGAAGGTCTGGAATGACCATTCTTGTCAAGCACCCACTACCGCCCTGGAGAAGCTGGTGTTGACAACTCGAACACAAGCAGCCCTTGAGCAACCTATCTGTACTCAGCAATTACTGCCTTCAGTGAGTGTCCACAGTGGCCCAAACAGTGAGGTAATTAACAAAAACCTTCTAAGACCACTTCCCCAACAATTCCAACTGACTGTCAGAAATACACAGCAATACCTCAGAAAAGCTTGCATGTTTACCCACCCATGAAATTCAACTTGCAGTAATTTTTGGAAATACGCTACCTTCTTTCCATCCCAGTATTCCCCACAATTCCAATGCACTAATTAAAGACACAGGAATTTCCAAAGCGTTGTCCTCCATTTAGTCAGGAATTCACAGGAATTAATGTTACACTTTTAAAAAAGCAACTAAAAAGAATCAGAGACCAGACCGATAAAGGGGTACAGAGGAACAAAACAAAGCCCTTCCCTACACCGACAGCACTGCTCCTGACAAAACCTAGCTCCCAGCCTTTTTTTGCCTCCTCCTTTCTTATGACCCAAATCCCCCAAAATACACTTAAGAGTCCACATAAAAAGTTATGCAAAAGCACACTACCAGCACCTTCTAATTTAAGGGGGGGGAAAAAGAAAAAGAAAAAAAAAAAAAAAGGGGGAAAAAATTACATTGGACTAATCTTTTCTTCCTAAGGTTCCATGAAAAATGAGATTGCTGCTACTTTTTCAGTGCACAGTGAGCTGTGTTTTATGGGATGCTAAGTTCCCATGCTACCCGACATGTCAAAAACATTACCGACATAGTAGCTACTCACTCAGCAGTATCTACTTAGAGTAGGGCAGCAGGCTGTAAATCCAAATATAGGGCATTTAAATAGAGAAATAAAGTAATTGGCTTTGGGAAAAAGGAGGATACGTTGCCAGATTTGGTCATAACTACAAGCCTCTCCAACTATTACACATCCTAGCTTTAAGATCAAAAAATAACAACTCACAGAACAAGACACACTTTTGTCCGACATCACAAAATCAAGCGCATGCTGGAGCTGACACTCAAGGCTGATCTTGAGTTAGCTTTTTCACTGTTGATCATTTCAGCTTAGTCTCCTGCTAAAGTGCTTTCATATATTTAGGGGAGGTGAAGGGGACAGGCAGGCCACATGAAGATTTATGACTGTAGCTCACTGGTGTTCACCGACTCTCCAGAACTGGTATCAAGATCACCTCTGCCAAATTGCAGAATAAAGAGAAAGACCTTCTCCCTACCTAGCATTCATGCCTGTTGGCTGTGGGCCAAGACCTCCAGCTGTACCTCACTCACAAGGACAACCAAAGGCTTCAGAAGCATTTTTTTTTCCTCTTTTTTTTAGAGCACACATCCGCAGCCTAATTAATAGTTCTATGGCAAACTACAGAGCACACTGAGATCTGATACATCAGAGATAACAAGCTATCAAAAAGAGACTTAGAAATAACTGCATAATTTGAAGTTACCCTATGCATAATTCAGGTCTGTCATCTTAGAAAGAATACAGGCACTGCATTGTGACAAGACTGTAAGACAGCTCACGGAGCTGCTAGCTTCTTGGTTTGACAGCGAAGGAAGTACAAATACCTTAGGCTTGTTTGGGTGTGCTCGCACAACACCGGTAGATACAGGAGACCCAAAGATATCACTTGTCTTCCCACCAGGTGGATTCATGCGTGGACGAGGCTGAGCAGAACTAGAATCCTCAAAAATACCACTTTCTTTTCCCCCTGCAAAGCAGTTGTTAGAATTTTTTTTTTTAATAACTTTTAGTTTTCCACACTATATTAAAAAAAAATAAAAATTCAGAGATATAAGAATTCAAAGACTTCTAGAACTCTACTGCCTAGAGACTTACTTTTGCTTGCCTGAAGATACTAGTTGAAATCCTTTGTTACAAGAATTCACTAGAGGATTTCACTGCAGCTAACTGATGACACAGCTCTAGAATAGAAGCAGTTTCCTTTCATCATTTCCTAGACCTCAACTTGGAAAGCATTAAACTTGGATGATGTGCTAAAAAGTCTGTGAACATGTAGATTGCTGAAATATTCATATATTCAGAAGTCTGAATAGATTTATTGTTCAAGCCCACTCAATGTGTAAAAATGCAACATAAAAAGACAGACAGATCACAGCATTCCACTTTAGGAGTGTGAAACCAGTTCTGTGCTGCACTTGAGAGCCCAATCATGCTGAAGGAGGCGGCTGCTCTTACCTGGAGGGTTTGTTCTTTTTGGAATGTTTTGAGGTTCTTCTGATGCTCCAAAGATATTTGAAGCCATCCGGTGTGGCCTGCTTGAAGAAGAAACTTCTTCTGTACTCCCAAAGAGATTACTAGAACCTCCTCCAGGGGGCTTCAATACCCTACATGGAAGAATGAGAGAAGCAAGAGACAAAAGTTTGTTTGAAATTTACAGCATTTGACATTTGATGCCCCCTCCCCATTCACCCTTATATGTTGTAACTATTCCAATCTGAACTTACTTCATGTAATTCTGCTACGTCTGTGAAGTATCTACTTTCCAAGAGCTGTTCTAATAAAATATTCTCAAGTTCAGCACAAATATTGCCAGCCTCCTAGTCAGTCAACTTGATCATTACGTTATCTACGATTACTTGGAGTGGTCATAATAGTGCCACCAGAACAAGTGGCTATGCTACCTGTGGTGTTCCAAAAGCAACAGGAGACTAAGAGAAGGCATGAGAATTTGGTTCATATTTTAAAAATAAACATTACAGAGTCAGACTTTCTACCAAACTGCATACACCAACTTTGCATCTGTGATACAACTGAAACCCACCAACTTTTATTTAAAAGCAGGCATTTCATAATTACTAAAAAATTTGCTAGTTTCATCCATCAGCTATCATAAGTCACCATATTAACAGTTATCATATTAGCTGCTGTAGAGTTTAGAATGGAAAGGTGGAATGCCAAGAAGCCAAATTTTTAGTGGTCATGATGCAAATCCATTACAACCAAAGCTCTGCGCCAGAGTTGTATCAAACGGATCCTCACAGAAATTGGAGGTTACAACAGAAATGGACCAACTTCTTGAAAACCTACCAAAAGTCATGCTTGCCCTTGAGTAGGAAGTCCACAGTTAATATCTATGCCTTGCTCAACAGACTTCAGGCCCTATCATGAAAAGGAACCGAACCACTACGTAGGAGTAGAATCAGCGGAATTAACTGGAAAATTAACAGAAAAAGCATGGGAAAGCAATGAATACCCACGTACCAAAAATAATCTTTACCGTTATGTCTCCTTGACCAGTTACCCACAACCTCAGCAGCTGACTAAAAGTAGTAGGTGAATTATACCCTTTCTAATCTGAATACTTGATCTGGGACCTAAACTAACGTTTACTTTTATACAAGTTATAAATTTCAAGATCTTTAACCCACTTTACCTGAACAGAATTAAAATGTGTCAGTGAATTAATACAACACATCCTCTCCGTTTCAGGTTAGGTATCTGACAGGCATAAGAGAGGTTCCTCTCAGAGACAAGATCTACTCCAATTTAATTTCACAAAAGCAGAGATATTTGGCTGCTCTGTCAGAAAGTTAGCTTTGTCAGCATTTCAGATCTCTGGATACAGAAAGTTCTATTCTCTTTGGGAGAAAGGAGAAAAAAGTTCCTCTCTCAGTCTGGGAGTAGTTTACACAGTCAGAACCAGCCTCAGAGAGCCTGTACTGGCCAATTTCAGTATTTGAATCCTTAGCACAACTGCAGAGTTAATAATTCCCTTTAGCTTGAGGGAGTAACTAGCATTTCAATAGACAGGACAACTGTCTTGTCCACTGCACAGGTAAGATGTCTGAGCAACAGGTTTATTTACAAATTAGTGTCCAACAGAATACAGATCCAACTGTGGTCCAGGCTTATCTTAGAAGATCTAAAACTGCAATTAAAACAGACATTTTACAGGCAAATTATGTATTTTGATCATTCACAATGGTCCAGAAACCATGAGGCAGTTTAAACATTTAAACTTTGGAGATGGAAAGAAAAGGGAACATGAAAAAAACCAAAACAAAACCTGAAGGAGTTTGGGAAGGGGGTCCTGTTAAAAAAGCAGGTCTGCTAGCATGCCTCATATAGTTTAAGTGACTTCTGACTTTACCCATTCTTTTCAGCTTTTTTTTTTTTTAATTCATCTAGTCTTTCTAGAGTTCTAAGCATACTAATCAACATATACTATCAAAGAGATTGAAAGGAAATGTAGTTCATACAGATGGCGTTTCTCACATTATAGATTCACTCCATTTACCAGGCTGTTTTCTTAACACATGCCTACAAGTGTAGGAGGGAGTCACAAAATAACTACATTCAGATTCTTTTGGTTTAAGAAAAACAACCAGTCATAAGAATCAAATTACTTCTGATTCCTGCAACTGGACTTGAGCTTAATTGCAGAAAAAAATTCTAGAGACACCCCATTTAAAGGTCTTGATTATTCAGTTAAACTTAATTAAGTATCAAAATAAATCCAACACTGATTTTGTATTGTCCTCCCATTCTCAGCTCAGTATACATACTAACAAAACCCTGCTGCTGCAATGATTAAGTCAGAGGCAACACTTGAGGTGCTCATCAGGCACTTTGAAATCAGCGTTACTACGCTGACCTATTACGGTGACCTTTCTGTCAGCATCACCCAAAAGAGTATCTTGACTCTACATACACAAAGTGGATTTGCCTCCTCGATTTCAGAAACTTCCAATTGCTAGAAACCTTCCAAATATTCCATAAGCTTTCAAGCAACTGTGACACCAGGCCCATACAATTCTAACTAATTCCAAGTCACATAGCTAAGTCATTCACAGAAATTACAAAAAATAACACTGAAGTGCAGCAACAAGGTCTTCCAGCTTATGACAGCAAAGAGGACAGGGGTTTGCGCTCCTTCCTTCAGCCAAAAACTGGGGAGAATACAAGAGCCATTTCCTTGCTGCGCAGCCCCTAGAGCGCTGCTAACCTCCTTGCACGCCTGTGTCACTCGGCTGTAGATCAGAGCGGGATGTGCAGGTCTCCCACACCAGATCAGAAAATAAGGCTTAGCCTGTGAATCCTACCAAAGGAAAACAGCATGCTAAACTTGATAAGGCAGTGTCAGCTGCTTCAACAGAGTACAAGGGAAGTCAACGTACATTTTACTGTAATTTTAGGCTATACTTTAGGGTCATTTTAGTTCATATTGGCATTATGCCAGTTTACATAGATATATTTTTGTGTCTTGTAGCTAGGTAAGTTAGATCTTCCTTCTTCCTTTAGGGACGGGGGAAGGGAAGGTGTTGTTTTATTCTTTTAAAGAGTAATGAAAAAACCCCTTTGTTCTGTAAGCAATCTACATTTGCCTCCTCTTCCCCTCCCCTCCAGTAGACTGGATCTGTCAAATAATCTAGAACAGCTAAATTAAGAACCCTAACCTGTAAGTTTCAAAGCCTCTACTAATTGCTTTGTTCTCTTCTGGGAGGCTTGAAGAATTTTAATTAGTTCTTGTGCTCTTTTTTTCCTACATTCTAACACACTTGAATTTGAATGCCCCTTTCCTCATTAAACCTTTCAGCCGACCTGTGGAAGAGGTGCCAAGACTTACCCATTACTTTAAGACGCTGGCTATATATATTTTTTTAAATTCTGCCTGAAAGTTAAACACTGAAGTCCCACCAGTTTTCAGACAGTTCTAATAAAGCAGGTAAAATAGCAGAGTTGCATTATACGTAAGAGACCATCGCTAAGGTGTTAAGGTTCAGAACACCAGGCTCTAAGGCAAAGAGCAGAAAGTTCCTGGGCCCCCCCTGCGGTTGGATCAATACAAACTCATGGCTCACGAAATAGCTCACTCATCTTATAAACAAGCAGCAACCTCTGTGAAGTCTGTTATGCTCTTGATCTGAAAGCTCCGCAGTATTCTGCAGTAACACTGACCGGGAGGAGGGGAGCACGCGTACCACGCTTCCAGGACGGCTCCATTTAACGTTTTCAGCTCTATACAGTAGTTGTGATGAACAAAGACACGTAAGAGCAACGCATCTTTACAGTGTGCGCCAACAGCAGAATGATACGATTCTGCCCTGCTTTGCTTTCAGAGAAACAGCAACTCTTAAGACACGCAAGTCCTCGTTTTATTTTGGAAAAGCAAAACTTCCTTAAAAATACAAAGCACCGTTATTGAAGTTTAATAAAATAAACCCAAGGCAGTTAATTTGATTCAGCAAACTAGTCTTTCCCTGTATCACTGTGCACATTAGCTGGATCACTAGAGATACATCTCACTGGACCATTAAGTGGAAGCTTTCATTTAAAGTATTTTCAGCATAATTTATTTCTAAGTGTAATACCCCTCTATTATGAAGCTCTCAAAATGCAAAGCATTTGTTTATCGTTTCCACGCAAAGATTTTCACATTAGGAAGAGGGGTTTTTTTTCCCCACTTCCGCAGCTGGTGGTGGTTGCTGCAAGGATTTCCAGTTAGGCTCAGTTTTAATTAGAGAAACTTCTACACATGAATAACTGCAAAAGGATTTGCATTATCACTGAATGAAGTTTTGGTTAGGGAATGAATGGAAAGTGTCCATTAAGCCAAGTACCTCTTGCTTTTGACGGCACAGGCCGTATGTCAGTCGCCACCACCTCAGAGCCCACTCAAATCCAGTAACGTAAGGTATTGCGGTGCTGCAGTTGCACGCTGGCTACGCCGGGTCTGCTTAGAGAGCTGTGTGCATTGTTTGCTCTCAGGCGCAGTGAACACTCTGCCCCAATGCCGGAGAACAAGCTCTAACAAGAACACCTGTGCTTGCTGCTAACCAAAAGTTACGACGGCCTGCATTCCAGGCTCTACCCAGAAACCCAATTTATGAGTTAAACATGGTTTCAAAATTACCATGTAGCTTCTTAGAGTGACCAGAAGCTTCTCAGAGAGTATAAGGGCAGAGCATCCTCAGAAGTCCTTTAAAACCAGGCCATAGCTTAGAGCCACTGGAATAAAGAGCAAACTTAAAGCACCCTTACGTGATTTCGAAACCCTTCCTTCCTTCCCCTCCGAGCACATGATTACCTCGCGGATGGATTAATCACACCAGCTCCAAGTTTTCTGGATATACGCCCTCGTCCAAGCGTAACAATATATTTCGACTTCACAAGGCGAACACAAGACAACATCAGCTCACGCCGGCGCCTGCCTCGGACCCTCTCAAAGCTTCGCAGAGCGCACCCGGCCCTCCTCCCTCCCCGAGCAGGCACAGACGCGGGGGAAGGAGGGCCTGCTCAGCGCCGGGCCCTTCCTCCCGCACGGGAGTCCCCTCAGGGCCGCGCCCCCAGCCCAGCAACCCGCGCCCGGCGGGCCGGGGCCAGGCAC